TATTTCAGGTAATTACTCCATTGCTCACTTATTAGGGAGGGGATGAAAAACAGTTTATTTTGCTGGAAGCACATAATAAGAGTCAAACAAAATAACTAGAATAATTAGCAAATTCACTTACTCTGTGTAGGTTCTTTTTATGTGTCACCAACATAAGTTATCCTTTGGGGAAAAAGCTTTCCCTCCCTTATCAGGCTGAGTGTACCCATATCTATCTCTCACACATCACTTCCAGCCTATCCCAGGATACAGTTTTGGTGGAACCACAGCCCCACCTTTGCTGGACCCCTACTGTTTCCAGGGGTCATGCCTGACTTTTTGTGATGCCTCCTTTCATCTTCTTCTGTGCTCCAGCCCAATGCTTGCTGAAGGAAATCAGAATGAAATACAGCTGAACAGATTAATATCCATCATGAAGGGATGTGGGGAATATGCAATCATACAGCCTGGATGCTTGGCAGCTCTATGTGTGACAGGAGAGGAAAATCAAAGTGAAAAGTGCATGCATCAGAGGGACAGCAGCTGGGGCCCTTTGATTAATCTATACAGAGTATGCCTGAAAAAATCAGAGGGGATTCTTATCCAAACAGAAGCACTAAAGTCAGGCCACAGTTTACACCAGCACAACCCCAACCAGAGCGCACCACTCACACATCAGATGAGCACCATGTACAAAAGCTGGTGGCCGATGTACAACGACATCTCCCTGCAGACTGCGTAGAGGAAGAAATACCAGTGCAATGTATTCAGTTGCAATGATGTAAGTCCCGAATAACTTCAGTGGTAACACACAGTCCTCTTTACATCCCTAACCTCATGGCTCAAAAAACATTTCAGATGTTCAACGAGGCAAAGATTTTGACCCCTGAAATTCTTGAGTTCTTCTGCAAGGAGACAAATTATCTCCTTTATCAAATGTATTCAGAGAGGCATAAAGGAAAGGGTTTAGCAGCCCTGTTTTGCCACAGGCTGCTCTTCAGCAGAGAAGGGAGAAACCCAATCAGAAAGCAAAGGAGGATTATGCACACATGCACACCCCTCTCCTGCCCAAGGTGAGCTGCTGTCTCCACCGGTTGCCTGCTGTCCTGCTGACTGCAACGTGGGGATCCAGCCAGCAAATTGCCACCTAAGGCGTGCACAATCACGGGCATTTCAAGTAGCTTTGAAAATCCCTGTCTGGATAATGATGTAGCCAGCACGTCAGGCCTGGCCATCCAGCTGAGCTAAGTACACAGCTGAAGAACGGTGTGGAGGGCGATGAGGCAGATGACAAAAGCGGTTCTGCTGGCATCATTCAATCACCTGTGGATCAGCTGGCTTGGGTTCAGGCAGCAGCTCCTTTCCTTCATGTGCTCTTAAATCCCGATCTAGGCAAGGCAATGTGAGGTGTCTGTGATGATGCACAAGTTGGAGCGTACTGAGAGATTAGCTTTTTTCCCCTGTGTGCCAATAGGTCAGTTGAAGTCTCCATCTCCAGGCTTTTCTCAGCCTCCCTCCACCCTGCAGACTGGGAGACCAGCATCTGCCATGCCTTTCTTAACTCATCTGCAGTCTTCCTCTGCAAAACCCAAGTGGATCCTCCATTTGCACAACTGTGCTAGCTTGAGAAACCACTATTCCCCCTAACTCCCTTCTTTTAGTCTTACTTTGCATAAAGAAGAAATGCTTGGGATAAAATACAAAGCATTCCCATAAAATTTGTATCACTCCCTTCAGCCCTTCTCCCTAGATTGAAGCTAAATATAGCAAAAGCCAGGCTGCCGGGTGGAAAAAATACAAAATCACTTAAAGAAAGGTATGATAAATTAAGCCCCAGGTTGCTCTCATACTGCGGTCTGGATGAGGTGAATGTCTTATGTCTATGATGGCACTAGCAGGACATTTTTATGTACCAATTTACAAGGGATTTGTGATCACTGAACAAAGACGTTGCTGTAAAGCCTAGCGGTGCCTTGCCGAAACTTCAGCTAAAACAGCGCTGCACTGTGTCCGAGAAACAGCTGCTGATCTCTTGCATTTGTAGAATCATTTTTAGATCAGAAAGACAGTTTGGGATTATTTTCTTTCAGTGGGCAATGCAGATTTGGTAACAGCAACTCTTTTGCAGATTTATATTTGCTTCACTGAATCCCTCTCAGAGGCTGGAGGGGGAATTTAGAAACTTCATTTTGACATTGAAGTTGTTATTCAAAGCTAAATGTTTCATTTTGCTGCTTTCAAACAAAATATTTTGATCTTTCCTTTGTATATTTAGTTTGGTTACAAATTGCTTTCCCTTTTATTTTGAAAGGTGTGCTCAAAACCCAGCTGTTACTTCTTATAAAGGGACAAAAGAAGTGTTTTGCTCAAACCAAGAGGGGTTTTTTTTCCTCTTTACTTTTGTCTTGAAAATAACTGGTCAAAAACAATACGGAAAAGAAGTTTTCTTGCTAGTGAACCAAAAATTCAATTAACTGAAAAGCTCTTAATCTCATTTCAGTATAAGGTGTTGTCTGCAGAAGGAGGTGAGAGCGCAGTGCACTCTAATGCAAGCTTAAAACCCAACCTGTTGCATCATACCTCCCTCAGATGTTGTCCTCCATTGATGATAAAGTTAGACCAGGAGAAAATCAGTTTTCCTGGTCAAAGGTAGAAGGAAACTTGGATTCAACCCACTTTCCTTAGCTCACCTAGGGTCTGAATTGCCAGCGGGAAATGCCTGTTACTCTTCACTGGGTACACAGGGATTCTGAGCCAGCCTTATACTGAATCAGGCAGCTTAGCATAAAAACTGGAAAGCAGGAATCCTGGCCTTTGGTGCTCATCATGAAGAGTGTACTCCCAGGGCAGGGTTACCACATGGCTACATTTTGGCCCAATTATTAAATCACCAGTGACCCTACAGAACAAAATAAAATCAGAGACTTTTGTACAACACCCTTCCTATGAAGCAGGTTAACTACGGAAGGCTATAGAATAGCTTCTCATGAGCTTCTCCTTGGTCACTTCAGCCAAACCTGGGGGGATACAGAACATGGAAAAAGTTCAAACAAATACCCGCATGTCCAGGTTTTTGTCAGAGTTGGGCATGGACTTGCTCTAGTGCAGCAGGCTGAGAAAAAGCCTCTTGGGAAGATGCCTCTGATTCAAAGGTTACGGTCATGACCAAAGTAATTCTGTGAGCCTAAATAATGATCCTAGACTTGTCATTGGGGTCTGAGCATCATCTTCTGCAGTGGGAAAAACATAATATTACACCTCACAATTTAAGAGTCCCTGAAAACAAGGTTTTAAAGATTTCTTAATCCATTTCATAGGTCAAATGATTCCTGTTTGTGCCTGAAACCTTCCTGTCTCTGACTCATCTGCTTTCATGCTCCACCTTGTCCATGGGCTAAAACCTTAGACTCATCAGCTCCTGTCATCCCGAATGTAGTCTGACAGTGACTACAAAACCTCCCTAGGGAGACTCTAAACGTAAGCAGCTGCTAAAGCTGCACAAATGGGACTGTGGCAGCCCACAGATCTGGCCTGCACATTGTCAACATATCACCTTTTCAAACACACAAGAGATGCTCTTTTTTTGGCCTTGCTGATGCACCACCACTGCCCCTCTCTAGCAGAGCTCAGTGCATAGGGGGAATGCAGGGAGGCTCCTTTCCTCCTTGTTCACTGCTCTATCCAGATCCTGTTTTCCTGTCAGCAGCAGAATCCATAGGAGACAAGGATAGAGGCTCTCATCTGTGGGGTGTCATGCTGCAGCAGCATCCCCATTGGGTTCGGGTGTCAGCAAGCCGATTGGCACTTTTGCTATTGCAACAGGAGCGTGACCTTTGTTTTTCCTGTAGCTTGATCTGCTTTATCCAGGGAAATCACAGGAAGAGCACTGTGCCAAGTCCTGATCCCACTGAATTCAGTGACGCAAGTCCAGCTGACTTCAATGGGACTGGGATTTAAAGTAGCACCATGTAAATCCCTATAGGTGTCTTGTGCAGCTCTCTCTGCATGCTTACTTGACTTTCACACTCTTGATGAAAACGTGTATTTATAAATTTACAAATAGCACAGCAGCTGTGTGTTTATATAACCTCATTTGAGGGCCACATGTATCCTCACCCTTGTGCTATTAATATTTATACTGTAACAACCACATACACATAAAATACGTCACACAAATACACACGCTTGCAGTGGAACAATAAGGAAAATAGATTAAAACCCCTTCTGACTCAGTCATGTTCTTGAAAGACATTACGAAGCAACATTTCACTAGATCCTGGTAACTTTGTCTGAACTTCTATGCTTCTTCACTCTTAGTTTCTGTGCAGTAACACCTCTCCCTGATTTGAGGTGACCTAAGTCCAAAACGTTTTGCAGAACAAAGTGAGATATTTCAGCCAGTTGGGAGATAGACAATTTATAGGGCAACCAGGACTTCAAGCGCTGCAAGCTATAGATAGCAGGGCAAGCAACTCCAGCTGCTGCTGCTGCTTCCCAGCTATGTAATGAGCATTGTTCAGGAGGCCACAATGGAGCTGGGTAACAGCTCTTGACGAAAATTGCTCTTTTTTTTTTTTAGGCAAAAATGCAGAATCAGGCTACTTTAGTCAATCTGCAAATTACTCAACTTGCTTCAAATGCAAACAGGAAAAAAACCTGCAAAACATACAGCCTAGATGCTTTATTTTGACAGCTCGGATGAAACATTTTGATTTCCTCATGCTGAAAAGCTTAGCATTCTTGAATTTGCTTCCATTTAATTCTGTCTGTTCCAAAGATTAAAATTATTTATCCTATCCTAAATATTAATTATTTTTAAACTCTCTGCTTTGCTAGCGAAATTGGCTTAAATGATCATTTAATGTTGGCCAAGTGCAACTTCTTCTCTTCCCTCCATGCTAATTTTCCAGCTCAGTCAACGAACCAGATCCCTGTAAGGAGCCCAGTTCAGCTTTTTCTAACCAGGTCCTGAGACCAAGGATCAAACATGTGAAGGTTTGAGCAGGACAGGCTTTGCACACCCCTTTGCACAGAAGTCAGGAGGCAGAGGGCAAGCAGCCTTGTTAATTCTTCTCCTTTCCTTTTACAAGGAAACTTTGCTGTGAGACCACATGGCTGTTCTGATGCCAGCAAGTTCCCTGCAGATGGAGAGAGCAAACAAAAATGTGCATATTTACATTATACATGCAGATTAGATAGTGTGCAGTCCTCACAGCCTGTCCCTGAAACACCCTCCAAAAGGAGTGTGGGGGAGAATGCAACGAAATTGAGTCCAATTCTCTTATTGTTTCACTCCCGCACTCCTTCTCTTAAACAATTTGTACCCTTGGCTGATTAACCCTTTCTAGTGACCTGCATCATGGACAAAACTCTCCAGGCCTGGCAATCTCTACCTTAGTACAAAAAGTGGAACTATTTGCTTTCAGAGTACTGTTAAATTCAAAAGCCATCAAAATCACATGCAGGATGGAAGTGGGAATGATGGCGAAATTAAATACTGCATTTCTTTGCTTTACCTGGTGAGATAACAGAACAGAGGTGTGAGTACATGTGTGTGCACATCAGAAGTTACTCTGACATGGAGCCAAAGCATTGAAATGGTGAACTTAAGCCCTGTTATACTTACAAAGAGCTTTTGCAACCAGGCTGACTTTCACAGACCATCTCATCCCTGAAGCTCTTTCTCCAACCATCCCTCCTCAGCACTCACAAGCTTGCTCCTTCTCAAAGCCAGTTTCAACTTCTCCTTCACTGCCCTACAGTACCCACTCCTTACTCTAGCCTCACCTCCCTGGGTCATCATGTGGAGCACCTAGGGTTCTGTAATGCCCTTCTGAACACAAGTGTCCTCACCCATGGAACTCTTCTTGTAAGGTCATTTTTGGGAGAATTGGGTTCTTTCGGGGAGTAAGGAGCAAGCCAGTGATGGGCATCCCATAGTCTTCTCCTGGGGAGGGTCAAATATAGCCTTTTTGAAAGCAGTAGGTGTGCAAACTAGAGAACAGTGTCAGACCCAGCTCTTCCCATATTATATTGGAAGATGTCTGGACTCACATCTCTTGCCTTCTTCAGAGCCTGGTCCTAGGTACCTGCCTGAGGACTGGGCTGCTCAGCCTCATCTGCAGTGAGAGCAGCAGGAGAAGTGCTTGGGCCCACAGCAAAACCATTGGCTTTCTCTAGGTGTCCCCTTCTTAAAAGGCTTGGACCTAGTCCTCTGCATATGCAAAAGAAGTCTGGGATCATACTTTGCTGACAGATCCAGAGCAGCAACAGCCTGCGGGTAATCAGAGACCATTGCTTAGGCTGAGAGGAATCACCCTGCTGAGCACACACGCTCCCGCACTCATCCGTAGCTCTCTCACACTGCAGCACTCACATCTGCCCTCCCAAACGGGATTCCACAGGGCACTTGTCCTTCTAGCTCTTCATTGAGCAGCCAACACGCTCCCCTCGCCCTCCTACACAGCTCAGCATTGCAGATCAATTAGGATCTACGCCCCATTTCTCTGCAGAAAACCTTTGTCGCGCTGTGCCAGCTGCCACCTCGCTGACAGATGTTCTGCTCAGGCACACTTTATCAGTTTTACATAGTGGCTGCCTGCTTGAATATTTCACACCTCGTGCCAAACTTTTAGTGCTCCCAGTCGGAGGGAGCAGTGTAAGCAAGTCCAGCCTGGGCCATGCACTACTTCGGGGCACTGATCACTGAACTCTTCATGGACTTCCCTGCAGTTAGTTCGTAATGCTGTGCTTGGGAGGAAAGAAGCTTTCCTTTGAAGTGAGATTGACTCCAGCCTTTTGAGCTGCAAGGAAAACTGCCTGCGCAGTGCCAGCTGCAGGAAAGAACTTAGCTAAATGTAAGGTATGGAGGAATGAGAGATTCATGGCATCTCCCAGGCAGATGAGTAAATTACACTTTTTGACATATTTTTAAAGGTGCAGTTTTACAGTTTATATCCATGAGGTATAAATGCCTTTGACTTATTTCCATATAGAGGAAATCAAGAGGTTATTAAGCACTGCAGTGGGACAAGGGGAGGTGAATAGCACAAACTCAAAGTGGCAGGTTCTGGGATGGAGCACGGAGAGTTCTGGGATTTTTTGGGGTACTGTGGTTCTAAGGGTTATGAAAAGTCCGTCTTTAGTTTTGTAGCGTAAGAAGCCTTCTAGCTCCTCTGACAGACTTTAAAGTGTTCTTACTGCCATGATAACAATGATAGCAGAACAAATGAAATACAGCTTAAAAATCATAAGGAAGCTAAAGCAATTTCGTTGTCTCATGTTGCACATTTACAGTCTCTTCTTCAAAGACCTCTCATGTTGCTATTTTCTGTTCTAAATTGTCTTTCACACCACTTTCACCAGTATTATAGCTGGGCGTTCCCAGTATTGCACTGAGGAATGTGACTAATATCCTTTACAGGTAGTTTGGGATGGTACTTTTTTGTGAAGGATTGTACAGGCTGGACCAATGCAGCTGTTTCTGACACTGATTAGCTCATGTGGCTGAGTGAGATTGCAGCTGTAGCTAAAAAAAAAACCCAAAGGCTTTTTCAGGTCCCAAATCAACCCCTAACTATATGTGGAGACTTAAAATTAGGAAATTGCTTTTGCATTTTTAACGAAGCTGTTTGAACACCCAGCCCTCATTCACTTAGCTTATACAATATTGCACATTGAGAGCCTTGGAGCCCAGTTTACTTTACTGTTACACCAATTTTACTTTCAGGCAGTGTAATTCCCTGGTAAGTCAATGCCAATCCTGTTGTGTTCTTTTAAGGTGCAGTGTTCACAGAATGGCAGGCACAGAGTTAAACAATTAGACAACCGTTGTCCTAGAGTGTAGGAAAATGTGATGATGACCCAAGATTTTACTGCAGAAAGGGAGCCCCCAATGCACTCTATGAATGAGGTTGAAAGATCACCCCATTTACAGCATCTTAAATGCAGGTCTGGTGCAATTTTGTTTAAAATTGAAGGAAAATAGTAAAGTCAATGTGGCACAAAGTACCATGCAAGTGTTGTGAATAAAAGCTTCAAAGGGTACTAAAGTGCCATTGATTACCTTTGAGAGAACCTTTAAGATCTCAAGTCCAAGATAAAGAACTTACACATACACTGTAATGTTAAACCATCATCTCTACATTTGCAATAACCACTTCTTCTCCCATAAATGAATCCAGCCATTAACATCCTGTTGGGGGGGTTCTCACTAAAGATACCCAAGGAAATCACAGCGAGTTACATTCCTGTTATGTTTAACAGTATTATGCCCTACAAAACCACCAGTGGTCACTTCTGCTTTGACAGCTAAAATTTGAAGAGGGATTAACATTCTTATTCTTAATGATGGCTTAATATCATAGAATCAACCAGGTTAGAAGAGACCGTTAATCTAATAAACTAAGATCATATACTTTTGGGGAGAGGAGGAGAAAATAACATGTTTGGTTGGTATTAACAAGATAGATTGCCATGTGAAGCATTTGGGTAGATACTGACTGTCATTTTGAGGAAGAATTTAGAACAGTGCAGGATGAGCATGGCATGAGTGATGTGGATTTAAACCTGACAGAGTGCAAAGTGGGGACAGGGAAACGAAAAGGGAAATCAGAGTATTTCCATGTATAACCTCCAAGGGCTGGTATTTCTACCTCTTTTGGAAAGCAGTGAGCACCAGAAACATGTCCATGGGTGATTTCATGCTGGAGCGTGCATTCAGTGTTCCTCTAAGGTAATGGGCTTAAGACAAAGGGCAAGGAGAGTGGGAAGTAGTAGCTGGTGTTAACTACAGGCAGGTGTCCACACTGGAAAGCTGTGCCATGTGCTGGTCTTCACAGTTCAAGTAAGCTGTTTGCAAATGAAAGCTGCTTCAGAAAAAAAAAGCTTTAGCAAATGTTTCAAAGACAAGAAATGTCACCGTAGGTTCAAATCTCCACCCAGGTACCTGACCAAAGACCAGCTGATGAGCTGACACAATATGGAAACCCTTACATGAGGAACACTGTGGTAATAGGCTCATGCTGAAAGACAGAAACAGCCCATTACAGTGGATAGAAATAAGCTCGACAATGCATTTTAGTGCATTACACTAGTAAAGCATCTTTCCATCATTACTGCTTATCTCATCCTTCTTCACTAGCAGCTCTGTTGCTGTTTCAACCCTTGAGCAGTTTATCTCATTTGTTTCTGACACTTTGAACTTGTCCCTTGCTTTTCCATTGCTGAGTTGCTTTCTGGGGAGGTGGAATGAGAGATAACGACAGCAAGGCATGTTTTGGAAGCACCATCCTCTGCTCGCAAGACTCCCATGAGCATTTTTAGGATCAGACCACCTTCTGAGGAAGAAAGCCAGCACTGGAACCCCAGTCTGTGCGGCCAGTGCCTTTCTGCTGTTAACACACAGGCTGCGCACACTGGGAGAAGGAGCAGCTTGTGTTTGCAGGGACCTCCAAGGAGAGCAGCCTGGAAACGTCAGAACTCCTTTCCTTTACAAGCCCACTCTTGGGAAGCACAAGAAGAAGCTCAGTCCAGCCACAGACTGCGGTAAGGAAGGGGCTGTCATGCAGAAAATCTTGGCAAAACCCTTCAACTACTGAACCCTCTCCCAGCACCACAGAACCAACCCGGCCAAGAGAGTGACAGCTACTAACAGGCCATCTCCCAGCCTGGCCCGCATCCGACTCGCTGTCTGAGCCAATGCTCACTGTCACTGTGCTGCCTTACCTAGACAGAGCCAGGCAGGTGGCACTGGCTCGAAGCCAGAGAAAAGCAGTTCATTCCTGGGGAGTAGTCTTCCATCCGAGGTGGCACGTGATGGGAGATGTGCTGTGTGTTGGCAGCAAGATCTGATGTGCCTTATAACAGTTTCTGAATCTTTGGAACTAGCTCAGGCTTGAAATTCAGAGGAATTTGGTTAACTTGTTCTGTTTTGTCTGAATAGCACTTATTTTTTTTTTTTTTTTCCTTGCATGTGGCTTCTGGCTTCAGCTCCTGTTGGGAGTGCTGAAATTCTATCACAAAAGCTGCATCATCACTTAGCTTTTTATTACAGTCTTTCAGCACTACATGATTGCTGGTGAATCTCCAGCCATGCTGGAAATGGGAAGAAACAACCAGCAGCTCTTTAGATAAAGCAAAAAGACCATGTCTTTCTGCCAGCAGCCACCCCATTTTCATCTCCCCTCTCCTCCAGCAACTGATGCTACCACAAGATGGGATTAACTGGAGGTCCCCTTTACCTTCAGGAAGGTTATTTGCAGAGGGAGTTATTTTCAGAGTGAGTGACAGCACTGGTGAGAAAGAGAGAGGTCCCTGTGGGGTCTGTAATACCCTTCCTTGCACTTCCTTAGTAATCTCTCCGCTGCAGACCTGTCCTACCCAACCCTGCTTACCTAGTAATTGCTGAAGGAATCAAAATACAAAGTATGGCAGCTGCAGGCATCCTGTGGTAAAAAAATCCCTGCATTCACATACACAAGTCTAAGAGAGAGAAGGAGAGAAAGCACATTAAAGAGAAGATAGCATTTGCAGCAGGCTGGTGTGTCCTTGACCAAACGAGACATCAAAGACAGCTCCAGTGATTTACTCTTTGACAGGCTGGCATCTCTGTGATTCACGGAGCTAATCAATTAGGTGATACGTTCCCCCTTCCCTGCCACCCCTTTATTTTTAACAGCTTCTTGCCAAGAGTGGAAACGCTCCAGGACGGAATGGGTACCGATATCCAGACCACACTGCTAGAGCTGACAAATACCAGCCCAGTGGGTCTGA